AAGTAGTGTGTGTGTGTGTGTGTGTGTGTGTGTGTATGTGTATGTATATATATATATATATATATATATATATAAAAATTGAACTAGTCAAAAGGAAAAATATTTCACACAAAAATTTGAAATTTTAAAGTTCCTTCTCTGTGGCAGAATTTGAATTGGACCCGTTCTCCATTTTCTCTATTATTTTTCACTGAATTTTTCCTGAAATCATTTTCTACATTTTTGATTACCAAAAATCTGTTGTTGTTGTTTTTTTAGTAAACAAAAAATTTAATTTAAAATTTTAAATAAAAACTGGTAAAATACGGAAATATTCACAAACACTGGAAAGTTTTGATATTGTCAACACATTTTTGTCAACAGTTTCATTTTTGGAAAAAAGCCATATTTTGACATAAAATTTATTAGTGCGAAAACATTAACCAATTATAATAAAAAAAATTCTTATTCATGCTGCTGTCTGTGTTAATACTTGGGGAGGGGGGAGGAGGGGGAAGTAATAATCAGAACTTTGGGCCTGCATCTGTAGTGAAAAGAAAATGCTTCAGAAATAGAAAGAGAAGCTGGTGTAGATAGATGATCAGAGAATCAAATGGTTAGTCTTTACTATGTCACAGTTGCCTTTCCACAAAGGACTGCCTACAGTGCTAAAAATATAAAGGATTTTCAGTAAATCACAGCTGTCTTTGGGTGTTTTTTTTATTGTGCTTGCTTGTTGTGTACCAAATGTCACAGAAAACAGAAGGCATCAAACTTGCAGATAGATCTACAAAGAATGAATCTGTTCAGTTCCTAGGATCAGAGGGGCCACAGAAAAAAAGCATTACAACCATGATATAAATATGCTACAGTTTTTCAAGCAGTTGCCTTTTATCTTATATGAAGGGACTAGCTGATGGAAAATGACAGAGAGAAGATGGAAAGAGAAATAAATGCTTTGTTGTTTGCAATAAGACAAGCAAGAAAAACTAACCAGGCAACAAATAAATAAGTAACTAAATCACTAAAATAAGAGATGTTGTGGCTATTTATATTTGTACTAATTTGCATGTAGGTACATATGCATACTGCCAGCAAGTTCCAGTTAGTGTAGAGTACAGCTGTCCACCTTATGAGCAATCTTGAGCAGCATGAACACAGGTCTCCTCTCTGCATTGACTTCCTGTTTGCTTCTGGGTGCAATGTAGAGTGTTTGATGTTTTTTAAAGCCCTGAATTATCTTGGGCCCCAGTTATCTGAAACATATCTCGCCTTATAGCTCATCACAGCATTTAGATGATCATCTGGGAGTCTGTGCTACTGATTCTTAAATTTGCACAAAATTACAGCTGGCCCCAACTCAGCACCAGATTGGAAACCAATTCCCGGATGATCCTCACAGAAACAAGAATTTAAAGTTTTAAGGCAGAAAAACACTGTATTCTTATATAGTCGCATTACTCATAAATGCCGGTGTGGGGAAAAAGTTGTCAGAAGGAATAGAAAACCGAAAGGAACAAGGTGGGAGGAAAAAGCATAAGTAGTCATAAAAATGAAGTACAGAAGGTTGGGGTTTCTTCATTGGAAAACCAAGTTAATCATCCAGAGTTTGGTCCAAAGCACACTGAAGTCAATGGAAGTCTATCTGATTTCTTCATTGGACTTTGATTAAGGCCATATTACATTGCGTATTACAGCACATATATTGTAACTGTACTTTAATACATTTTACATGGGGAGGTGTAGTTTTATTTTTGAGAAAGATTGAAAAGTAAGATTTAACCACAATAGGAAATGTAAACTATAAACTCATGGAAAAATTAATCCACAAGTTCATGTTTATATTAGCTTTTGGACTGGAACTACTACTTATTATCAAAAAAAAGTCCTGTTCAATGTGCTATACTTACAGCAATGGAGGTGAGGAAAAAAGCCTTCTTCAAAACTAGAAAATTCGGTGGAGCTATTCTGGATTTATGCTGTTGAAACTAGAATATTCTAGCCTCATACTGTAAATAGAACATTTTATCCATAACAATATGCAATTAGAAGTTTAGGCATAATATTCCTCACATCAAAAGCTAAGTACTTTATTTTCATTACATTTCTATGGTATTTCCACAGTTCATAATAGCAGAGATGTCCTCTGGTTTAGACGTTTTCTGGACACTTAGTAGCTGGCTGAGTTAAAGGCCTGCTATTTTACAGCCAGGTATTGATTGTTAGAGTTCAAGTGAATTTCAGATAACAAATAGGGATTCTGACTCACTGGAAATTTCAGATTAGTGTAAGAACTAACTAACATTTTGGGGTGAGGGGAAGAGAGCATCAACCCTGTACCTGTGTAAGTTTTATATTAGTGTTTTTGTGTTCATCAAAGACTAGCAGCTAGGATATGTTCCAAATTAAAAAAGCAAAAACAAAATGCAGGGAAATTAAAATGCAGAAGAGAAAAATTGGCAAAACAAAATTGTAATATTTTGCAAAATACTGCTGCTCTGCTCAATTCACCTAACTTCTTGGTTAAGATTCCTAAATTATAGCACATTTTTACCTACATCCTTGAAGTCAAAGGGAATTTTGCTTTGACTTCAGTGGATGCAGGATCAGGCCCTAAGTGCTTAATTAAAGCTAGTTTACATTGAGTGCCAATTTCTTAACCTAAACATCTTCAAAACGTATAGTACAGTATATGAATAGAATCACTTATGCAAATCAATTATCTTGTTTACCTTATGCTAGCAGTTTAAAGTTTAACTCTTCTGTGTTATATACAGTGCATTGTAAATGAAGTGGTGATCTACACAGGATGTCACATCATAGCATTATTTAAACATTATGTCCAAGTTGTATTATATAAAGTGTTTGTTTGTAAGCAAAATTTTCTTCAGTCCCTGCAGTCTTCTTTACACTTGAAAGAGCAGATGTTCATTCTGTTTGATGAGGTGAGAAATAATCACTGGTTGCATTCAAAGCAAAATAACCTTGGATATATGATAGGTATTGTACCAATTTCAAGTCCACACACTTACAACTTTTACTGCGAAATCTGTGAGGTATGATAAACAGTACCAATAATAACATATGCAGTGGGAATTCTTCTTCTTAGTGTATGCGCAACTTGCCTCGGGTGGCACGTGACCAGGATTTGGTCCAATGGTTGGATCATTAGTTTCCCTGGCCCAGGCTGGATACTGATGGGGAGTGGGACATGCTCTACTATAGGCTTAAATTCTTATCCCTTACCTTCGAATGTTCCTCTCAAAAAAAGATATCATTGCCAAAAAGTACATATTGGTTCACTGTAAAGTGCTGTTCTTGCAGGAAGGAAATAAACATTAAGTTACTTAACATGTAAACTTCATTTGAAAAAATGAGGTGCTGTACTTAAGGACTATCTACATTAGGGCAGCCCTGAACAAGGGATGGTGCATAACATACATTAATCCAGGAGCAGCCCCAGAAAGCATTAAAAGTCATAATTCTTCCTATGCTTCTACCTTGTTCAAGAAGAGGGAATAATTTGCTACAGGCTTAGAGAAAAAGAAAATTATGATTGCCTCCCACCAGCTGCACTGGTCAGTGAGTCAGAGGGATGGAGTCAAGGTTCTGCTCATTCCCTGCCCACCTGACCTGAGGGAGGAGTAAGCCAGTACGCAACACCTATTTATTCTGCATGCCCAGTCTCATGGGATGGATAGGTACGTATAAGTATAAGGTGGGGCTCTTACTCTTCTGTATGATTGCATAGCACACATCACAATTTACCTCTAAGAGAGAAGAAGATTCAAAAGTCCAAAGGATGACATTTAACTTGACAGAGGTGCATTAGTAGTAATGAAAACAATAACATTTCACACGTAGAAGGCAATTTCCATCTGAAGATTTCAAAACACTTTACAGAGCCAGGTAAGTATTACTCTCTCACTTTATGGTTGATCCTTTGGTGTATATGTATGAACTACACCCTTACTCAAGATTGTACATAAAAGGCTAAAGCTGGCCAAAAATTTTCCATCTCATCTTTTTTTAATGAAAAAATGGAAATTTTTTACAGAAAGTGTCTGCTTTCCTCAAAAAAATACCCCAAAACTGAAACATTTTCAGATGAAACAATAAAGTAAGTTTTCAGGGTTTTTTTTTTCCTCAGAGAATTTTAAATTTTCTGAAGGGGGAGTGTGACAGGGTAGACCAGCCCTGCGCTGGTTCAACAGGGGTTAATCCCAGTTTGTGGGCCGAGGAGGTCTTGTCCCCTTGGCTCTGCTGAGCATGCTCTAGCTGGAACCCGGATATAAATGGAGCAACTCAGCTCAGTCGGGGCTGAACAGAGGTGCACTGCAGGTTCCTGCAGAGGGACTGCCAACACTCAAGGACACAGAGGCCAGTCAGACTGTGACAACTAGTGACCCCCCAGACACTGTTGAGGGAGGCGAAGCCATGGGATCCCTGAGACACCTAGCTGTGGAGGAACAGGTTGGAAGTAACCCAGGGAAATTTAAAGGGTAACCAGTCATATAACCGGGACTTGGCTCAGTATGTTTCAGCAGGATCCCCACTGAGCAGGTGGCGGACAACCTCAGCACTGCCAGGGCCCTGGGTTGGACCTGGAGTAGGGAGGGCCTGGGTCCCCCTTTCCTGGCTGCTGCCCACTTCCTTAGCCACCCCGGCTGTCTGGCCATGCTGCCCTGCTGCTCAAGCCCCATTGACTCTGGCTATTGGGCCACCCAGCCCTGTGAGGAAGGCAGCCATATTGACTCTGGTCACTGGGCCATGCAGCATTGTGGAGGAGGGCAACCCTATGGACTCTGGACGTTAGGCCACACACTGTGAAGGAAGGGATCCATATAGACTGTGGCCATTGGGCTATGCAGCCCTGAGAGGGAGGGCCTCCATATTGACTCTGGGCACTAGGCCATGCAGCCCTGCGAGGGAGGACACCCTATTGACCCTGATCATTGGACTGTACCGCCTGGAAGCCAGGGGCTGTCATACAGCCTCACCCAGGGGTGATAAGGTGTACCAGCCCTGCAACAGGGAGACAGTTTTCCAGTTATCCATATAGCTGTCTTTTAAGAATAGAGAGAGAATTTGAGGAAGCAGAATCAGTCAACAAAGTAGGAGGGGGGACATAAGAGTAATAAAGGCAGGTGAGATGAGGAAATAAAATCAACAGTGGATTCTGATATGGGGAACTGAAAGACTAAATGAAATAACTACATTGTATAATGGTTATGGAGAGAAGCTCTCCCTTTTGCGTAGCTAGCATCTTCACTAAGTGCTACAGCGGTGCAGCTGTGCTGTAAGTGTAGACAAGCCCCGGGTCTGCCTAGAGCTTGACCCTAGTGCAGGCCTGCCCCTGCAATCTCAGATTTGGAGACTCCTGGGAAGTGCTGTGTGTTCTTTTAACCTGGTCAGCAACTGGAAATCTTCTGAGATTACTGCTTTTTTGAGCAGAAGCAGCAATCAATGTAAGCAGATGTCTTCTATTTTTAGCAGCAAATATTATCTCCTGTTGCATTTTCTGTGATGTCATCTTCCTGTATCCAGGAAGAAAGGAGAATGAAACCAAGCACCACAGTCGCTCAATCACTATAGTCCACACATTTTTAATATGTGAGCTCATAGAAAATGATAATACTTTCTAGGATTTAATAATTAAATCACTTGAAAATTTGACTTAGAAACAAATTCTAATCCAGATGTGCAATGTGTTTGGGTAAAAGGAAAAATCTACCATCAGGGAGTAGTGGATATTTCAAGATTTGCAGCAGTGGGCACCATGCACTTCAGAGTCTCATCTGGTCTTTGTTTCTTAATAGCCTGCAAAATACCTGCCAAAGAACAACAGCTGTAGAGAACACTCAGCAATAAGAACAATTTATGAGTATGAACAACCAAACAATCAGCAAGTTCTTGAAGTTCTTGAAAGGCAAGAGTCAAATGATATTTCCATAGTCCTTTATTTTCTTTTATTCTTCTTCTTTTGCTATAATACCTCTATAATAATGTGGATTTTGATTCTTCTCTTCAGTTTTAAATGGCCACGGAATTAACATGTAACAATATTACATCCAAGCCTTCATTCCTCACTCCCTTCTCTTTGCCTCTTGATAATAGCACTGTCCTGTATACCATCGATAAAGGTTGTTGAGGTGGCTTGCCAACCCTGACTTCCTCTTCCACCCTTTTTTATATTATTATTCACCCTTCACATACAGGTTCTTTAAAACTCCTGTGACTTTACATATGTCTCTATGGGTAAGTCTACACTGAAATGTAAGTCATCTGACCCATGTTAGGGAACTCTGGGCTTGAGCTTCTGCATTGTATTTTAACTCTGTTAAGATTTTTTTTCTAACCCATGCTCAAACCTAGGGCTCTGGCATTCATACAGCAGTGTGCAGACCCAAGTCAAAGTAGCCAATCCCAGGTTCCCTAACATCCTTCCGTACCCTGAAATGTGGCTGCTGTAGCTCTAGGATCATGTTGCACTGTGGGAAAACTTTACTGCCCACCTTGCACATTACCAGGAAGCAGCTCAATTTGCAAAAGGCTTGATCAGTTTGCTCTCTATTGCAAACCCAGGAGGCTTTCTGATAGTGCACTTGCAGATTGGTGATCAGGAGAGAATGGGTTAGTGCTGACCTGAGCTGCTGCCATTTACAAAGAAGGTGGAGTGGCTTCCATTTTTGATACAGTTGACTGCAGATTGTTGGGATAGAGAAGACTAAGGAAGTTGTCCCATGGAATTGTGGGATACTTCTGTCTGACTCCCAGAACCCACGTCAAGTGGGGCTGCATCTACACTGCAAAGCATAGTGCTCAGATCCTGGGTCCCATCTTAATTCAAACTCAGACCCTCCAGCCCTGCAAGGTCCTGGAACTCTGGGTTTAAGTCCTGGGTTAGGGCAAGTGCAGTGTAGACACCAGGGGAGTTAGGTTTGAGCCTGAGCTCAAGCATGGGATTATGTTGCAGTGGAGACACACCCTATAACATCTCTAAAATCTCATTACTTCCTCTCTGTTCCAAATGAAAATCTGATTCATGCCTTCATTGCCACATGTCTACTGACTACTATAATCGCCACATATCTACTTCATCGCCTCTCCAGACTGTCCAAAATACTAGTATCAAAATCTTCTCCTGTCATTACAGTCACATCATTTCCCTAGATTCTATTCCTTTTCCACATCAATTTCAAGTTCCTTGACTTCACCTGTAGGGCATTACACATCTCCAATTGTCTATGTGTATGTGTGTTGCCACCCATACACATTATCCTTTAATTGTATTGTTCCAACCAATTTAGACTGTAAGTTCCTCAGGGCAATGACTGTCAGAGCTTTGTGTTTTGTAAAGTGATGTGAACACTTATAGCACTATCAAAGTAATCATAACCACAATCCACAGGGCATCACATGTGTCAAAGCATATTTGTTGTGCACCAGATCACTAAGGATAGCTGTTTTTATATAGTGAAGTAGGACTGCAGGGCCTGAAGAAGAAGAAAAAGTCCTGAGTTATGAATCTCATCAAAACTGGCCTATATAAGTAGATATAGGTAAATGAGGCAAAGATAAAAACTCAGTAGCTTTGCAAGAGAATCATTCCTAAATATATACAAATTATTTATCTCTGTCAAGATAGAAAAAGCCATTCCACAATATTATTAATCACTGTGATACACACTGTAAGTATGAAAAAGTATCAGTAGAAAAGAGCATTACATTTACTTCTACTTGGAAACTACTGTTAGGATTCTATGAAACATCCAAAAAGCTATAGCGCAGTCTTGATCCCTTTTCAGAATGGAATGTCCTACGAAGAATATTCCCATTTCATTCTGTCCTTTCTACTAGGGCCAAATCTTTCTCTGATTTTCTCCAGCATATAGCTGGAGTGACTCAGGTTAAGCCGGTAAAGTTACTTGTGATATACTGAGAGCAAAATCTTGCCCAAATGGATTTGCACAGATTTATCTCATGTCAGAATGGGGTGCTTTCTATGAAGGAGATAGCAAAGAGAAATTTTGAGGTGACTTAAATTAGTATGGGCTCAATTCTAATTTCACTTACACTGATGTATCTCAGGAGTAACTCCATTGAAATTAATAAGAGATAAGATGGTGTAAAACTGCTGGAAGTGAAGGAAGAATAAGACATTACATAAGTCATACATGCACCTATGTTTTTTACACCTTCCTACATTTCCTCTGTTAGTATAAATTAGTTATTTTGCATACTCACTGGCCACTCTCTCCATTCTGCTTCATCAAGATGGCTGTGAGCCAGAAGATGGTGAGCTGTTTGCCTTGCACCACAGCAGATGGATCTCTTGGATACATGAGGTTCCTTCTGGGCTGTGGGGATATACGACAGGATGTGCAGATGTGTGAGTATCATGCAGGCTGTGTGATATGGCATCGCTGGTTTCCTGGGGCCCCTTTTAACAGTACAAGATAGTTCAGTCCCCATGTCTATACAACTCATGAACTCTTTGCTGAGATTACCAACATTGGTGGTAATTAGCACTCATTGTGATGCTGGATTTTATTATGTGGATACCTGTCCACAATGGACTAGTAATGACCCCAAGCTGCAAACGCATGTAGATCCAAACATTTATAGAATTCTGGGGTGGTCACATCCAGCATTGTGGTTTAGGCCATTATAAAAATAGGGCCAAATCTGGAAGTTTAGATTTGGATTCAGATCCAAATTTCTTCACGTTCAATCTGTTTCAGCATTTCAAGCCATGTTCTTGGAATTGAAATTAAACAAATTAATTTCACATAGGCCACTGAACACTCTTGCCATGCTACCGCTCAACTACCATCAATCTTCAACAAGTACAGGACCTAGAAGAAAACTCCAAATACCAATCCATTGAGCTACTCAGTCTACATGTACATCCTGACAGAGTAGTTGAGTTTAAGCAGAAGCTGACATCAAGTGATTAGGAGCAAGAGGAAAATGGTGAAAAGAAGGAAACAACACAGACCTTTTAAACTGTTACAGCAGTAAAAACAAGTATTTTCTTTACTAGTGATAACAGACAGAGGAAACAGTTAGCAGCTGACAAGTCCTCTCCACTTTTGCTAGTCTTTACTTTTAGCTACAACATTGGAGAGAGGATCTAGAAAATGCCCCAGAGTTGTAATAGATATCTCTGCTAAGACCTCTGCTAAGCAATGATGGTAGCTAATTTAGAGCCCAAGCTGATGTGAAATAACAATCCAGTTATGTTTATCTGACCAGAATCTCTTTGTGTATCTTGCTTTAGCTAAGGGTGCATTACATTGTTTGGGAGTCTATCTTCCAATTCCATTTCAGTCACAGAGAATTTTAAAGTATGTATATTGCTTAATCACACTGCATGAAACTGCCTCTGGAAAAGTGAGACGTTGAGAGATTTCAGAAACAGAAGCTGCTGTATGTCAGTTTTCAGTAGGGCTGCTAGCACTAACAATAATATCAGTAACTTGTCTTGATAGCCTATTGTAACTGTCCCCAGCTCATGGGCAATCTTCAGATACCATGCAATACAAGATTGTCTTTTTACTTTGTGTAGCTCTGTGTCAGGTGGCAGATGCTAAAACTCAGGACCCTGCACAGAGATGCCGAGTTATTTCTGGTGACATCTTCACAGCCAGGTCAGGAGGGCCCTGTTAGCTTCCAACCCAGACATATGGAAAGGTTTGAGAGGATGTCTGATGTTGAGGCAGAGGAAACTGGAGCATGGAAGGAAGGATCCTGTGGGGATAGTCGAGGGACAAGTTTAGGCTGATGTGTACAGTAAGTTTTGTTGTTACTAAACAAAGAAAATCTTCAGAAAAGAGGAGAGGTTTGAACAACTAATCCAGTGGCTGAGCATATAATTGGGTGAACATGTGTTGAGAACAGGATGAATCAGCTCTTACTGTTTCACTGAACTATGAACAGACATCAGTATTAATCAAATATGAAGTACAATTAGTTACCCTGCATAGTTAGCTACTGCTCTCCTCCCTGCAATGGACAAAGATAAGGCGCCATCTTGATTCTTTTAAATCTGCAGCAGCCTTTGTGGAATCTTGGGCCCTTGACTTCAATGGGAGTTTTACCATTGATTTCAATGAGACTGGGATGTCACCCATGGCCTTTTTTCAAATCTAGTGTGTTTTCCACTAAATATGTATATATATGCATCTGTTCTGGGGTTTTGCTGTCTCTAATTTTTTTTTATCCTTCTCTCTCTCTCTTCCTATGTTAATCAATTAATGTCAGTTTCTTTTCCCTTTTTTAGTGGAAAATAAATGTAGTAATAATTAAAATGTTGTGTGCCACAACTTTCCCATTTAACAAAAATTAAAAATATGAATTTCGCATTTTTTGCCATGTCAAAACCAGGACTTTTCCCATTTACTTGCCAGGACAATCTTACAAATAGTTAATACTCTAGGATCTAGCCACAAGATCATTTTATGATAAAATTTTGGTGGCAGACCAAATAAATAAATAGGATTCCTAGAACATCAAATTCCACATTCATCTCCACATGCGCAGACACCGCGAAGTTGTGCTACTGCAGCATCTGATGAAAATCAAGACTGCAGTTCATTGGACAAAGCCCTTGACAGGAAGCTGTATATCGGGTGGGGGTGAGGGTGAGTAACTGGAATAAAAAGGATCAGATTATATTATCTCGTTTAAATTTTCATAGCTTCACCATCTGAGGATCTGGCCCCTAGATTTAAGGCACTGACTAAAGGACAATTTCTCCAATACTGTATCTTTGAATTTCTTCATTGTCTGGTCTCAGAGCAGACCCTTATAAGATAAATTCATATTTATGTGTTTTAATATACTATTATTGCACTTAATATAAAGCTAATGTATCTAGCAAGTAGCATTTAGTCTACTTATAGTTATTGCTATGAAACATAGAGCTCTAAGAAATACATAATAATAATGTCCTGAAACATTTTAAAAAAACAGATTATTGATGTTCTCCTAATATTGCTGAAAGTATATAATAATCTTGGCTCTTTAAAGCCCAAAATGTATCATTTTAATTGTCTGGAATGATACCCTTTCTTATTACATTAATGAATAGTAGGTTTTCTTTTTCTTTTTCTTTTCTTTCTTTATGTTGGAAGAGAGAGGGTTATTTGTAATGATTCGTTTTTCAGAAAGATAAAAAATAATTATTTCTCTCATGTTCTTTGGATATCACCATATTCTATATAAAATGAAAAATACTAAAGATAATACATTGGCCAAAGAAAAATATGGCACTGAAGTAAATGAGATTCAGATAGGACTTGGTAATGAAGTGGAAAATTAAGAATTTAGACTATAACTCATTCCTTTTTTGCAATGACCCTGAATTTATACACCTTTTGAGTTTATAAATTGAGAAACAAAGAGAAGTCTGAAAAGAAAATTAAAAACACCTTTGTCTCTCAGTGGGCAAAAGAATGCAAATCCTACTTCACTCTACATCTCTGCTGAAGTGTTAGAAAGAAAAGATTAATTATTTTAACCCCATGATTAGATGACATTGATGTACTTGATAGATTTATGATTTATTCTCTTACCTATAGGTAGAGTTATTTAATACTCTTAACTATAGATAGTTATTTCTCTTTCCTACAGCATTCATTAAAAATTGAAAACAGCTACATTAATGACCAGATCACATCATGCTTCTTTTGGGGCCTGATCCTGGATTCCTGGTTCACCCCCCAAATCCTAGTAAAATCCTCAAGTTTTGAATAAGCTAGGATTCTTTGTATGTAAGAAAACTTTCAGAACTCTCATGGATTTATTAACACCTGAGTTTAGGTTAAAATTGCACAGCTGCTTCTTCTGCAGGAGATTATTGAAAGTATACTAAACTATCAGTGTCACACATTAATTGCTACTCAATAGTTCAAAGCCACAGCACTTAGAACTAATTCATTTCCTTCCATTTTAGTTCCCTGGTGATGTAACGTTGTTCAGAAATAGCCCCCTTTCATGGTTTTATATATATTTTTTTAAATCTGTTAACAGGGAATTGAATTTTCAACTCAATCAATAGTGCTAAAATTAAACTATACATGCCCCATGTCATCTGCTCCTCCTTCCTCATCTATTTTATCACTCTTCAAGACCATCTCCTAGCTATGATAATTAATTCAAAGTGGAGTGAGTAGTTGGCTTGACTGAAACACTTAGAAAGAGACAAGAATTAGGCAATCCAGGCATCCACGCATACATAATATAAATAGGCTTTCACAATTTTATAAATAATGAAACCCTAGGGTAAATTTTGGTGGATAATTCCTCTGCAGAATTTGTAAGTGGCTTGTGTTCCATTTGGAAAGTGGGCAGCAATAATGAAAGGAAAAAAGAAAAAATTAACAGTGCTAACTTCTCCCTCCCCCTAAAATATTTTCTCAGCTGCCTAAGTGGACATGAGAAATATTAGGCTTTTATTCAGTGACCATTAACATAATAGCACTAGAACTGGCTTTACACATGATATCCTGCATCTCTCACTTGCAGAATATAAAAAGAAATCTGGAAATTTAAATTTCTTCACACCCCTGAGCGATCTCATTATACTGACATAAGTTTATACTGTAGACCTGGCTCCTCTCTCAAAGCTCTGGCAATGTAAACCCCTTGGGGCAGGGACCAACTTTTTGTTCTGTGTTTGTACAGCATCTAGCACATTGGCATCCTGGCCTCTAGGCACTACGGTAATAAAAAAGCTTACTTCCACCATGAAGCAAAGGGAAGGCAGGGACTGCATTGTGACTGAGGGAGTCACAATGTAGCCCCTCCTCTTGTCCTACACAAAGCACATTGCAAGGTGCCAACCAACCCTTTTTATAAGCAGCATAGGAATGGATTAACATGTCATACATTTGTGTACTTTGGTAGTCCCTTCCAGCTGAGAATGTCCAAGTGTTTTACAACTATGATTACAATCATTTACAACTATGATTTAACTTATTTATTTATTTATAAACTGAGCCTCATCACACTGTTACCCAGGGTTTTCAGAACCCAAAGCATTGGTAACTTAGCTATTTCACGCCAGGCAGTGTCAGGAATAAGTCTGTGGGAACACAACAATTCTGTCTGATGCGATGAAAGATTAATTCAAGTGCTCTTATTTAAAACTACAATGTATTAGATTTAAGCACACCCAGACATAAGCTAAAGGTTACAACATCCCAAATAATTACCTAGAATCTGAGATGGTATTGAGTAATTTACAGCAGATCTGCAATAGCCAGTCACTTCCCTACTAGGGAATATGTCAGGAAAAAAATCTCTCAGGATAGCTTCAAAGAACTGGTCCAAAGTACATTCTATTATCTAGTCT